GTTCTTTGTTTCAGATCCGTAGCTGTGTCTTTGGCTCCTCCCCACACCCCTCAGTGTGCACTTGAAATTGGCCCCAGCCTCACACTGCACATTGCAGAGCACCCTCGGAGCCCTCGCTGGGATGTGGCCACCCCACACCCCTGGCTGTGCCTTTCAGGGCACCCCAAACAGCTGGGCGTGTGGCATTTGGGGAACCCCATTCTCACATGGCATGGTTTTTCAGGGCATTTCTAGACCCCTGGATATGCCTTTCCACTGGCGTCCACCTTTCCAGCTCCCAGAATAAGCTTGTGCCTGATTCTTGGCTGGAAGCCTGGAGGGCAGGCCCAGCCTGAGCACGAGGGAAACTTGCCCTAGGTCACAGCTTTGACCCCTCTGCAGTCTAAACGTGTCACAGGTCCATGGAGACAATCATCCCTGTGGTCCTCCTCTGGACCTGCTGGAGCAGGTCTGTGTCTTTGTGCTGCAAATTTCTCTTGACTGCCTCCCTATCTTCAGTCCGTTCCCTGGTAGGGCAGTAACCACACCAGGCCAATGCCTCGGTGCAGGTCTGCAGGTAAGTGACAAGACCCTGAAATCTACTTTTCTGAGGGAGGTTTTTGATCTGAAACTAGACTGCAAGTTCTTTAAAAATTCAGAATCAAATCCTGCCCCAGCTTTTCATTGGGAGTTCCATGCATGTTACATTCCTGACTTTCTGGACAGCCATTAAACCTGCTGCTTGACTGTGCCCTGGCTTTGTGTCTGTTCTTAAAACTGAAGCTTGGCCTGCATTCCTCAAGACAGAACATACACAGAGCCAGGGAAATGGAGATGAGCAACACCCTGTGTGTTTTTTCCTCTTACTGTGTATTCCAAATTGCCTGTTCCCAGCTTAGACCCATTTATTTATTGTCTTCCCCACTGTATTTCCTTTTATCCAAGCCCCCCTGTAGTCAATAATGGCCACAGATGGAAAATGATGGGCTGATTGTTTCAACTGGGTGGGTAGCAAGGGGAGGAGAGAGCAGAGACCAGAACAAAAAACCACCACACTTTAGTGATCAGACTAGATTGAAAGGTATTTATTTAGAATAATAGCTTTGGTATTTCAAAACCAAACCACCTTTACATCACTATAAAGTGGGATGTCTCCCCACCCCCCGCAGCCAATACAAATCAATGCACAGAGTCTTAATATGCTTAGAGTAGGAAACCTGCAGATCAGCATTTCCACGTGTAAATCCAGGAAACTATTTCATTAAATTTGTTTTGCACTCTACAATCATAAAGGCTGAAAAACCCGTTACCAGCACTTAGATATCTACAGTTCAGCTGACTGACAGGTTACTGAAGTGGAGGCAAAACTGTAACATCTTCCACCTCCCCTCAAGCAATAAACTTAAACGTTTACCAGAAAGGAAGTTAGGCTTAAGTTTTCTAGTTAACTCTCTGAAGGGAATCATCCTTTATTTTCCTGTAAAATTCAAAAACCAAATCAAAATATCAAAGGGTTTAGTAGATTTTCAAGTGTTTTCACCAAACGGATTACTCTGAGGGAACCAAACAGCTTACAAGGAAAAAGAAACATATTACACAAGCTTCTGGGATCAAGTCTTGAACAACTACACCTTCCAAGTCTCAGGCTCCTCTCTTATCAAGGCACAAAAGGATTGTTGCTTTCAAAAGGTCCTTGTTCTCAGCTGCAAAATGGTCAGATGTGCAAACGGCTGCTGAAAGCAGGACTAAGTTCACTTGGACACTGGGACGCTCCCATCCAGTCTGTGAAACAGGGTGTCACTCCAACACTGCTCATCCTGCCCGGGTTCTGAGCTTCAGCTGGCGTCCACTACAGCCCCGTTCTGTCATCATCTTCTGCATCATCTCCATTCTAAGTAGGTCAAAGTAAAACGAGGCAAGAGGCTTGTTCACTGTGAGGGTTTTGCAGTGTGGAGGAGGAAGGAGGAGGAAGGAGGAGGAAGGAGGAGGAAGGAGGAGGAAGGAGGCGGGTGTACACCAGCCCCCGCG